GTCACTTAGTAGTTATTCTCTAGCATTATAAATAAGGGTTATTTCCATAGAATAAGGGTGTTCATTTGTCTTGTACAAGTTACTCCAAATAACTCAAAGTACCCGCGTGTAGAGAAATGAGTTAGAGAGAATGTATGTGATGCAACACCATTTCTTTTCATCAATGCAATTTATGTACCTTTATCATTTTATCTTGCATGTTCTCCATTATCCTTTACCTTTCATGTCCTTCCTTGAAACTTTATTTTTCATCTGTACTTCATGCTATTTAACTTTCTGCACTTTATCTTAACTTGCCATTTAACCTTCTGCGTTTTCTCTTAAACTTGTCATTTTCAAAGTCTTTTTAATTGCTTTCGACTGTTACTTTCCTGCACTTTTACATTATTGCTTTTACTTTCAACGTCTTACACACTTACTTTCTTGCATTGTTATCAAACTCAAAGTCTTTTACATTCTTGCCTTTATTTTCAAAATCTTTTACATCTTGCTTTTTACTTTCAACGCTTTAAGAATTGCACTCTTTATTTTACAGCCTTGCTAATTTCCAAGTTGTTTTTGCTTTACAAAGTTTTACAGTCGAACATGGAGTTCAATTTAGATTTTCTTTTAAACTTAGCACATGTCCTAGGATTTGTATGGTCGATCCTGCAAGTTACTCAATTTTACCCAAAATTGATAGACCAGAGGTTGTTTACCAAATTTCACAGTAAACAACATCGACCTATAGGAAGCCATGCGTCGAAGCATGCAAGGCAAAAAAGTTTCAAACAGAATCTCCTACAATATGAGTCGACATGTAGGTGCCCATGCGCTAACCCAGGGTAGGCGCATGCAAGGCAGAAAGTTTCAAAAACTTTTCCCTTCAGTGTGAGTCGACCTATGGCTCAAAAAATGACCCAAAAACTAAATTTTGACATTGTGTATAATCCTATATGTGTAATACATGTATAAGGATCTTTATGCTTATTTGTAAGAGATGAATACATGGATTAGACATGGTGATACCGTCCAAAATACACAAGTACTTAATATCCTAGTTTTGACATCATTAAAACATAGTAAAAAGGAACCTTGCCCTCACATAGATGTTTAGCATGAAGCATAGCTCTAGCATATTCCTGGAGAGTTATGTTCTTGCGCTCAACAACTCCATTTTTCTGTGGTGTAATGGGAGAAGAGAATTCATGACCAATTCCTTCAGATGAGCAAAATTATGCAAATTTGCTATTTTCAAATTCCTTCCCATGGTCACTTCTGATTCTAATAATGCGACTTTCATTCTCTCTTTGAAGTCTTTGATATAGATCTTTGAAGACTTAAAACACTTATGATTTTTCTCTGATGAAATTTACCCAGGTGAATCTTGAAAAATCATCAACAACCACATAGGCATACTTCTTTCCACCAAGGCTTTCAACCTGTATAGGTCCCATTAAATCCATATGAAGAAATACCATGACTTTTGAAGTAGTCAGATGTTGGATCTTTAGAATGCCTCTGATAGCTTCCTTATAGATGATCTTCTTTATGCCTTTCAGATGCAGGTGGCCAAGTTTTTAGTGACACAGTTTAACTTCATCTTCTTTGGTTAGAAGACACGTGGAGGGACAACTTGCTTCTTGACGAACCCACAAGTAACAGTTGTCCTTAGATCTGACTCCCTTCATAAGCACTTCATTCTTCTCATTGGTGACCAAGCATTCAAATTTAGTAAAGTGGACTTTAAGACCTTGATCACATAGTTGACTGATGCAAATCAGATTGGCTGTAAAACCTTTTACAAGAAGGACTTCATCAAGGTTAGGAATCCCTGAGTCATTCAGCTTTCTAACTCCTTTGATCTCCCATTCAGCCTCATCACCAAAAGTGACATATCTAGTAGATTATAATCTAATGTCCACCAAAATTTTCTTGACACCTGTCATATGCCTGAAGCACCCACTATCAAAGTACCGGTCTTCTTTGGCTGAGACTCTGAGAGAAGTGTGAGCTATGATACCATTAGTAGCAGCCTTAGGAATTTGCTGCTTTTTAACATTAGCAGTAGCCTGATTAGGTCTTAATTGAGGAGCAAGCTTAGGATATCCATACAACTTAAAGTAGAAGGGCTTTATATGTCCAAATCGACCATAGTAATAACATCTCCAGCGATGGAGTATGCCTCTAGAGTGATTATGCTGATTTCTGCCATGTTGTTGAGACATTTGATTCAACATCATCAGTTCAGGTTTAGAGAGAATGAAGGTTGTAGTAAGAGCTTTTCCTTTGTTGTTCTGGGCTTTATCATTAAAACCTATTCCACTCACGTGCCCAACCACTTTTCCAGCCTGAAGAATTTCATCTAATGTGTCAGAACCAGTGTTCAACGTTCTAATAGACTTGGTCATGTTGTCAAGTTTTGAAGTTAGCAGGGTCACTTCATTTTCCAACTCAGAAATAGTTGATAGGTGCTCTTCCTTTTTAGTCTGCAATTTGGATATGGTTTTATTTTGTCTCTCTACCATTTGACAAACTTTTTCACTTCTGATACACAATTCCTTGTAGGAAGCAACTAACTCATCATAAGTCACTTCTCCACAAGAGTCTTCATCAGAATCACATCTTCCAGTCAAGGCATTTTACATGCTTAGCAGACTCTTCATCAAACACACTCTCAGATTCATCATCAAACCAAGATACAGATAACCCCTTCTTTTGTTTCTTGAGATATGTAGGGCATTCAGCTCTAATGTGACCAAATCCTTCACATCCATGACATTGAACCCCTTTGCCTTGAGTGGATTTTTCCTCAGTTCTTGTCTTTTTCCCAAAGTCATTATACTTGCTGATGTCATATGAGGTGTTTTTGACATTAGGTCTTGACTTCCCGCCCATCCTTTTCAGAACCTTGTTAAATTGCCTCCCAAGAAGCACAATGGAATTTGATATTCCTTCATTAGTATCCAGATCACATTCATCCTCTTCATCTGCAGTATTGGACATAAAGGCCATGCTTTTGTTCTTCTTTTCAAATCTGTCATTAATACATAATTCAAAGGTTTGAAGAGATCCAACAAGTTCGTCCACTCTCATGCTGCTGATGTCTTGAGCTTCTTCAATAGCTGTGACCTTCATGTCAAATCTCTTAGGAAAATACTTGAGTATCTTTCTAACCAGCTTTTCTTATGACATCTTTTCTCCCAAGGCACTGGATGAGTTTGTTATCTAAGGATATTCATGTGGAAGTCATGAATGCTCATATCATCTTTAATTCTTAGGTTTTCAAACTTGGTAGTGAGAAGCTGAAGTCTTGACATCTTCACTTTGGCTGTGCCTTCATGAGTAGTTATTAGAATTTCCCAAGCATCTTTGGTCACTGTACAAGTGTTAATCAACCTAAAAATGTTTTAATCAACTCCATTGAATAGAGCATTCAAAGCTTTGGAGATTCCAAGAGCAGTCTCATCTTCTTCCTTAGTCCAGTCCTCTTTAGGCTTCAGAGTTTCCTTCCCTTCGAATGGGGTGTGACTTCCTCCTTTTCCCCCTGACTCACGTGGTGGGGTATGATGTTCTCAATGACTGGTGCAATCCGAGGATCTAGGGACCACATTGCATGGAGATATGAGATCAACAAAGGATGGTTCTGGTTCAACTCCTCGACTGTCGTGTGAGGTTGGCTTGCGTATATAATGCTCATTAGGAGGAGTATGTTGCTTCGAGGTTTGGCCTTGGAGTGGTTGTTGAAAATACAAGAAAAATGAAAGGACTTGGAATGTGCCTTGGCCGATTGTTAGAGGGAGTGGATTTTATAGTGGTTGAGAAGATGAAGAAGTTACCAGGACATGATCATCCTCAACCATAATAGGAGCAGAGTCTCCCTTGAGAGATCGAGTGCATCAATTGTTGTAGCTTTCAATGTCTCTATTATTTTAACATTTTTATGGGTAATTCGATCAGGAAAAGAATCACATGTTTGCCAAATTGCGATGAAGAGGTAATGGTTTTCTCATAGAATTTTACGGGAATTATAAGTCAGATTCTCATAGATGACACCATCTTTTTATTCAAGAGGTAGTAATAATTGATGACAAAGTGATATAGGGTTCAGGTCGGTGGAATGTGCTTCAGATGTGGCAGAACAGAAATAAACCTATAAGATAGCACTCCAACGTCCAATTCAGTGAATGAGTTAAAGTAGTTTGAATGTAGGAATGAATAAAATATTAGTGTTTAACACGCGCACAACTTTATATAGTTCAAGAGATTAAAAATACTTCCATTTAATCAGGTGTTTTGCATAGATCACCGTCCGATTAAATTTAATAGGGAGAAGCAGGCATTAGGCCAAAATTACATGTTTCGTGCTTGAGTAGGGTCACACATATTCCTCACGTGTTTCTTCGATGTGCTTGTGATTGAACTTGATACGTGAGTCTTGCGAGACCTCCAAAAATTGCCACCATATAATTGTACACATCATAAATACATATAGAAAATAAATCGTTTCAATTACTTAATTTTAATATTAAAATTATAAATTATGTGCAAGTGTCACATGTAAACTAATAGATAATTAAACTTGACCCACACAATTTTTTTAAAAGAGTTTAAAAATAGTGTAGGTTAGTATAAAGTAATATTGTTTACGCATCTAATCAAAAATTTAAAATTTATTAAATCATATCACCATTTAAGAAAAAAAAACATAATTTAGTTGTTGGTGTAAAAATATTTTAAGTTGAAAATGGATATTGTTTTTTCTTTTTTTAACTAGAAAATTTAAAACTCTTTAAGAGCTAATGGACGTGATACAACCACGTAAAGAGACAAAAAAAAACAATTAGTATTTCACTATATTTAAGAGAATCCAGAAGAGAAAAAAAAAAAAAAAAACACTCCCTAAAAAGATTGTTGATTTGGAATATAGCGCGAGACCGTCTTGATATATATTGATCTATTCGGCGAATACACTCTCGTCTGGTCCAATTCGGGCTGAACCTCCTTTCACCATCATCAACATGGGTAGTTCGGAACCCGGTTTCGATGATTTTCTTCAAGACAAGAAACGCGCTAGGAACCCATTTGTCCCCGTTGGTAACTAATTCTTCTCTTTAATTTCACGCTTTCAACTTCAATTCATCATGTCTCTGAGTAGTTCTATTGATTTAGATATTGGAATTAGGGTTAAAATCGTTTCCCCCAAATTTGCTTACTGTGAAATTAATGACGAGGGTAGGGGTATAAAAGAGTTTAGAAGGTTTGTAATTAGGGAAATGCTATGAGAAAGATAATTGTGATATGCTATTTTGAAATTGTGCATTGTCAGAGGAAATGGGAAACAGTTATAATTTGGAAATTCTAGTTGACTTGAAAAACAGGTAGTAATAAGGATATGTGAGCCCTAAATTGAGAAGCTTGGTTTTGCTTGTTTAAGTTGGCATCTTGATGTGAATGATTTTCATTGTTTGCTTGATACCCACTCTGAGCCAATGAGATTATTTGCCTTTATCATTATTTTGTGAACAATGAGATATTATTGCTAGAAGTTTATTGTGGTGGTTTGATTTCTACTTTGGATGTGATCCATCAAGTTGCAAGATTGCAGCTGTTGTTGCCTACTATGTCACACCCACACCGTAGGCTTTCTCTTAGTGTCTGACACTCAGGGCCGTCTGAAGGAGTGTAAGGCGAGCTACTCCACGAAGCTCAAAATTTGACACGGTTAATCTGTATCTAAATAGGGCCTTTTGAAATATTTGTCACAGTAAAACTTTGGAAAAATAGGATCCTGTTTGTTTCGTCACATTTAAACTGTGATCTACTTACATAGGGTCTTTAAAACTTAAAACGGCCCTGCTGACAATGATACTGATATGAGGTTGAAACTTGTGATTAATCGATTATTTTATCAAATTATTTTCTGTGTCCATATCGTGTTTGTGTCAGAGCTTCATAAGTTGCTTACCATTGAATGCTGATGGATTTAGGAAATGATTTCCATAACTTAGATATTGAAATTTTCACTCCTTTTTCTCTGTTTTGGGAACTAGGAGTTTGTTCCGTTTGTCATGATTGAAAATAATGTGAAGGACATTAGATGCAGTGATAAAATTCTTGTATGGGTTTGTCTCTCTTAAGAATGCTACCTTTCACCATGTGTGCCAATTTGGAAATAATATTGGGTCAGTTTGCATTTATATATGCAATGAGTTGTGAATTGGAAATGGTAGAACATTAATTTTACATTGCCCAATGGTTGGAGACTGTTGAACATAACATTTTTCTTTTCTTGTGTGATTCAATCGTATGTTCATCTCGTCTTTTCATTTAACTTTGTTAGTTAGTGTTGTTCTTTGATTAACTTGTTGCTTTAATTTCAGGCGCATTTATTACTGCCGGTGTACTAACAGCTGGCTTAATCAGTTTTAGACAAGGTAATTCTCAGTTAGGCCAGAAGCTAATGAGGGCTCGTGTGGTTGTCCAAGGTGCTACAGTGGCACTCATGGTTGGTACTACCTATTATTATGGAGACAATCCTTGGCAAAAGAAATAGACTTTAAATAGATAACAAACACTCAAAGATAAACTTTGTAATTGCTTGATTTCTTGTTGGTCTTAGTTTTGTTTACGTGAAGTGAAATTTGTTCATTTGAGAATGATTTCTTTACGCTTAGTGAATTTGTTCATTTGAGAATGATTTCTTTTGTCCGCGTCTTATTTTTGAATTATTTTATTTCAATACATAAGAATTGAATTCTTATGGATGTGCTGTATTTTGATATGTACTATAGTTTTTTTTCCTTCAATAAAGTAAAACTCTCAGTTTCAGTTTCATGTTGATGTCTTGAGGAAGCAGAAAGGAATTGGATGCCATGTTTGAACCACATGATAACCGTGACCTTTAGTTATCAAGATTTATAATCTCTATCTCCATTCACGTTTCTAGAGTTTATGTAGTATATTATGAAGGAACCTAATTCATAAATACCCTACCAGATATTGAAAAGTGATTAAGTTTGCCCGTTTTGTAAAGTAGTGGTGCCGAAACGGGTCACCAGCTAGCTCTTCGTCACATGTTGTCAGGTTGTTCCACCAATAATTAAAAGGTTTAATTAATCAGTAGGCTTTAAAAGTATTCGAAAAATTTTCATTAAATTTTAATCTAAAAATATTGTAATTAGATCATTATACTAATTATTTTAGTTACTTCATTATAAAGAAGTAAAAGTCAATAATTAATTAATGTCCAGGTGTCATATTATTTAATTATGATCTAATTTGTAATTTAAAATATCTCTGAATTAATTTAAAAACAATTTTATTATATTCTTTTTCATATATAAATCCTTATGTATTAAGAAAAGCAAAAAGATTGAAAAGAGGGGACTAAACATAACTCTCGAAAAGAGAACCACAAATTAGAAGAACCTAAAGTTAGGCATATCAAACTTGTTTTTTATTGCTTGTTTTTTATTGACTCACTCCAAATGACTAATGGAGGAGTGTTCCACTAAGTGAAATCAAGTAAAGATAGATCAAAATTAGCAATAATATCAACACAGTGATTCTCTTTCATATATATTTCATGTCAATTACTCCATCTGATACTTGGGAAAGCATTGATATTTGGGAAAGCATTCAGTAACTTTGAAAAATGGTGATTTTGGTAACTTACATGTAATTTAAATCATAAACATTCAGATATCTTATTTTAATCATTTACATATCTCTCATTAACACTAAAGTCACAAAAGTTACCACATTTGAAAGTCAGCCAAATCCAGTCCCTGATACTTAGCTCTCAAGGAACAATGTAATGTCAATGTAGCCAATTAAGATTATGTCTCAATCTAGAGAGAGTTTTATCCTCTATTAGTTGCCTGCTCAATTGCCTAGATAATGCACATTAGCACAACATAGAGAAAGTTGTGACCATTAAGGTTTGTGGCAAATCCTCCTATAAAGTCTCCAGATGCAGACTTGAATATCCTTCTACGAGATGCACACCCAAGTGTTCCAAGTGCGGATCCATATGTGTTGCACTTGATCTAAGACATACTAGGAGGACACCATATTACTTATTTGATTTGAGTAGCCTTAGGATGATGAGTTTTGAACTTGAAAGCTTTGAGGATAATGAAGTCATCAATGGAAGGGTCAATAATGAGGTTTGTTGTATTATATGTCAAGGAGGTTGAAGCAATGATTATTGCAATAACAGGGTTGATGGAGATATCTTTGTTTTCAAACCATATATTGTTTCTACAATGCCAAATGACCTTGAAAGTGGCAATAATAGCAACATAGATAACTATGGAGCATTGAAGGCTCCGTTTTTTCTTGGATGCTTTAAAGGTAGAAGAAAAAGATGAAAGCTCTATAAGATGGTTTAGGGAATTCTGCAATCAGTTTCATAATTCGACAAGAAAGGACATTTTAAAAACAGATGTATGTCATTTTCTATGGATTTATTGCAGGGGCTGCGCATGGATGGAACCAGACACCCTCTAAAGGATAGTTTGACATCTGTTGGCATTTTATGGTGAAAGGTTCTCCAAATGAGAGTTGAACTGGAAGGAAGCATAACATGATTTCAGACGAGCTTTGCCCAATCTTTGTTTGGTTGAGGGTTTGTCATGAAAGAGTATGCATCATTGAGGGTGATACATCCTAATGTAGAGTGTATTTATAGTAGACTATCATTTTTTGGATTCAAAGGGATTGTTGTGTTTCAGATAGTGGCATGCAGGTTTGGAAAAATATAATCCAGGTCATTAGGTAAATGCCATGTGGTATTGATAATGTAGTCATGCACCTTGGATCTGAGGTTTTCAAAGATGTGACCAGGGATGTTTAGAAACTCATATAGAACTCCAACCTTAGACCAATTATCAGTCCAAAAGTGGATTTTTCCTACCATTTCCTATTTGCCAATGTGTGTTGGTTATAATAGTATTGAAATGAGATTTGGTACCACTCCAAATTGAAGAAAAAATATGCTACCTGATGTGAGTTTCTCCTCTAAGCACTCTACTCCTAATAAAGATAGACCATTGGCCATTAGAATTAAGCATTTCCCAACATAGCTTGAGATTGGGAGCTTCTTTTAGACAAATCAAAGATTTCAATCCAAGACCCCTATAAGAGATACGAGTGAAGATGGTTTTCCAAGAAACAATTACCAGTTTCTTGCCATGCAAGTCACCAGTCCAAGTAAAATTTCTGAACATGTTTTCCAGATTTTTTAGTAAAGAAATTAGCCAAGAGTAAATAGTGATAGAGTATATAAGCATACTTTGGAGGACACTTTTGATCAACTAAATTCTACATAAAAAGAAGAGCATATTGGCCTTCCAACTAGCTACCTTGATTCTAAATTTGTCTATGATTGGATCAAATTGTATTCCCTTAAGCTCCCCCTTGAAAATTGGAACTCTTAAGTAGGTGAAAGGCAGGGTTCCAGTGTTGAAACCAACTGAAGCTGCAATATGAGTCAGTCTGTTTTGGGATATGTATCCTTCATATATGGTAGATTTGTGAGGACTGGTGACTTGACATGAAGCTTCAACATATTTGTTAAAGAACTTGGTGAGAACCTGAATGTTGTTAAGATAACATATGCATAAAAGTATAACACCATTTGCATAAAAAGAATGAAATGGTATATGATTTTTCCTTGTGCTCTTGATAAGCTCAAGATGTTTATTGTCAACAAGATTGGATATGCCTCTACTTACCATTTCTTCAGCAATACAAAAAATAAGGGGTGAGAGAGGATCTCCCTGCCTGACTCCCCTAAAACGAGAAAAGAAACCTTCCATCTTGACATTAATTGAGATTGAGAGCTTTGCAGAGTTTAGAGTTGTTTGAATCCAATTGCAAAATGTGGAACAAAACCCAAATCTTTTGAGGACCTTGATCAGGCAGCTCCAATGCAAAGTGTCAAAAGCTTGATCTATGTTAATCTTGATTTCTAAGATGACATAGAGATATTTGTTATCTAACATGTTTATTGCTTTTGAGGTGAGACATACGCAGTCTTAGATGCTCCTGTTATGAATAAAACCTCTTTGTTCCTTGGAAATAAGATTAGGCATGATTTGGACTAGTATATCGGCTAGAACTTTGGAGATGATTTTGTATTTGAAGTTGGCCATATCAATTGGTCTATATTTTGCCCAAAGTATTAACATTGGCGGTTTTTGGAAGGAGGGTCACATTATTGAAATTCATGTTCGGAGAGAGCCAATTGTGAGTGAAAAAATCACTGACAACTTTACGCACATATAAAGACTAATGATAGACCTATACTCCTGAAAGAAAAATCCTCAAGAAAATCAAGTGTAGAAGATATCTCTATATTGAGGTTGAAAACTACAACTTTTATTCTATTTAATTTATTATTATTATTTTATTTTTCAAAAATAGTTATTACACACACATAATATAATCAGCGGTCGGGCTAGGTGTCGTCAAAACCATTAGCGATGATTCTGATACATTAGGTAGTGGAATGTATGTTGTTAGATTAGCTTATATAGATGGATAACTTGCGCATGGCTAGATAACTTACGCATGGCTAATTAATCAAATAATTTACAACTTGTTTTTGAATTTTTGTTCTTGTACCGAATGCGTGTCCTTTAACATGAAACTTGTTATTCTCAAGCATAGTGTTCCCATAAGATGATATTTGCGACATACTAATATGTCATATTTTTTTAGATAGTCTCATTGTCATATGAACCTATTTAAATTGAAGATTAGTATAATTATACATATTAATAGCCACTCATTGTTCCATACGATTGGCCACAACAAAAGTATTAGGTCGGAAATTACAAAGAGTAAAAGGTACTTATTATATAGGAATCAACTAGGTTTGGAAAAATCATATTGTCATATTTATCAGCTAGTTTTCAATAGTAATGCATGTTTGACCTTGGTTTTTTAAAACTTTTTGAGTAGTAGACGTGACTGAAATGTCAGTTAAATTAGTTCTTTTAGTCTCTATCTCCCTTGCCTGTTTAACCTTGTTACAAATCATATGTATTACAATCTTAATAAATTGTTGAGAAACCTGATACACAATGTTATGTATTCCTAGATCTAAATATTGTCTAATGAAAGATATTGAAATTATCATTGATTCCGCAAGTGGAGAAACTGATGGAACTCCATAAGTAGTGGTCGTTGGCATTCCCACTATTTGTGAATGTTTATTCGATCGTTGTTGGTTTGGCCTCCTCATAGGTGGTTGATCCGTGTTGTTGAGACACTTTTCAAACTGCAGATGCATACACCAAGTGTATCTGTGACTTGATGATTGAAAGTTGTTAGTGGTATTGACCATAGTTTCTAATTGATCATGACAAATTTGTTTTTAAACTATGAAAGTTAGTTGAGAATCGGATCGTAGATCTTAATAGTGATTTCCTTGTCTTCAAGATATTGCATTTAGGAAAGAACTGATAATTCCTTAAGTAGTGTCAAGTACGAGTGTGAGAATGTTGAACTACTAACCAAAAAAATTGTTAAATATAATTCATTGTG